GCTAGCAGCCAAGTGAAACAAGCTACCTTATAGGGAATCTTGGTTCTCCATATAAGCTTCCATGGCCAATCATGTATCTGTGGATCATTTTGATTCAGAATCTTATATGCTGCATTCACCTGATAGACCCCTCTGTTGTGCCTCTGCCACCAAAGTGAATCCACCCCTTCCTGTGTACCTTTAAATGCCTCCAGCTTGTTGTAGAGGTCAGTTAATCTTGCTATCTCCCAGTCATTCAACTGTCTTCTAAGAGTGAGTTCCCAACCTTGAGAACTTCACATTTCAGCTACTGTCTTCTGTTGGTTTTGTGCCAAACCAAACATATCAGGGTAGAGTTCCTTTAGGCATCCATGTCCCAACCAGTTATCATTCCAGAATGATGTTTTCCTTCCATTGTTCACTCTTATGAAAGTGTGATTCTTCATTGTAGGCCAAAGTTCCCCGATGGATTTCCACACACTAACTCCATATGATGTGCTGACTTTCTTTGACACCCAGTTATTTTCCTCACCATATTTAGCTTTGATCACTTTGCTCCATAAGGTTTGGGGTTCTTGAGAATATCTCCATAGCCATTTCATTTTGAGAGCCTTGTTTTGATTCTTCAAGTTTCTGATTCCCAGACCACCTTGCCTTTTCACCACTGTGAGGGATTTCCATTTAACTAAATGGAATACCTTTTTCTCCTTATTCCCTTGCCAAAGGAAGGATCTTCTGAGTTTGTCCAATCTTTGTATAATTCCGGCTGGAATTGGGAACAAGGACATCATGTAAGTAGGAAGTGAGTCTAAAACTGAGTTGATTAAAACTAGCCTTTCCCCCATTGATAGATATTGTGCTTTCCATCTTGACAGCTTTTTCTCACATTTTTCAATAACTGAGTTCCAAATCTCTTTGGATTTAGATCTTGCACCCAAAGGCATCCCAAGGTAAATAGTAGGTAGAGACCCTACTTCTCCTCCCAGTACCAGTGTCAGTTGCTCCATATTATAAACTACATTAATGGGATAAATATGGCTCTTTCTCCAGTTGATGTGGAGTCCTGAGATTCCCTCAAACAAAACCAAGATGATCCTCAAAAACCTCAACTGCTCCTCTTCAGCATCACAGAAAACTAGAGTATCATCAGCATATTGGAGATGTGTGATCTCTAGACTGTTTGATCCATTCCTCCTCAAAACCTTTAACCCATCCATTGACTTTTGCTGTCTTAATCATGTTGCTCAGGCCTTCCATGGCTATAATGAAAAGGAAGGGAGATAAGGGGTCACGTTGTCTTAGACCTCTATGAGCAGGGAAGAAGCCTTCAGGAGATCCATTTATAAGAATGGAGAATCTGACAGTAGAGATACAGAATTTCATCCAATTTATCCATTTCTGCCCAAAACCCATTTGTTCTAACATTTTCAACAGAAAACTCCAGTTGACATGATCATAGGCCTTCTCAATATCTAGTTTACATAGAATTCCTGGTTTTTTCTTTTTGATTCTTGAGTCCACAGCTTCATTAGCAATCAACACTGCATCCATTATTTGTCTTCCTTTGATGAAAGCCATCTGTTGAGCATCTACTAGTTTGCCTACCACCTTCTTAAGTCTTTCAGTCAAGACTTTTGAGAGCAGCTTGTAGAAGCTCCCTATCAGACTGATTGGCCTGAAATCTCTCAGTTCTTTGGCCCCTGTCTTCTTTGGAATTAGAGCTATGTATGTTGCATTGAAGCTTTTCTCAAACATCTCCTGGGAATGGAAGTTTTTGAAAGCCTCCATGATGTCCTGCTTCAAAATATCCCAGCACTTAATGGAAAAGCCCATTGTGTATCCATCAGGACCTGGGGCCTTGTCACTTGCACACATCTTTAGGCAGCTCAGGACTTCTTGCTCCTCAAATTTGCTTTTAAAAGACTCCTTCTCTAATTCTGAAATTATGGGGCAATTTTCGAAATTGGCTGCAGGTCTCCACTCTTCAGGTTCTGAGTATAACTTCTTGTAGAATTCAATGATCTCATTCTTTATTCTATTTGGCTCCTCCACAGTTTCATCTTGAATCACTAGTTGGTCAATATTGTTAGATCTCTTGTGTGCATTGGCAGTGCGATGGAAAAACTTTGTATTCCTATCCCCTGCATGCATCGTAGAACTAGTACTATCCAATGCCCTTGTGCATGTGCTACTAACAAAGTCTCCTGCATGCATCCTAGAACTAAATGGCATATCAATTGTGTGTTTCTTTTAAAAAAAGTGGATGAAAAGTAGTTAACTCAGTGGCATTTGTATGTATAAAGTTTGTCATGCATAAACTAAGTATGTGGATGTTGACCCTTCTATAGAGAAGAAGTTGATAATTAATTGGTGCTATAAAAAAAAGATAATTATAATGTCAGAATGTCTTTCAGATTCATGTAAAGCTCTTTCTCAAAATCAACTCCGGCTCTTAATTATTTTTATATTTGAATTTGCTTGGTTGACTTGTTTCTATATCCTACACCGAGTTCTCTTAACGTAGATGAGAACTACCTGGGTATTTTTGCTGGGTACAGTATGTTTGTTCTGATTTTGTTTTGGGAGTGACGTTAGATGTTCGGGGAGGCAAAATAATTATCATTATCAACTTTACTATGTTCTTCTGTTGCATTTCCGTTTCTGTATCATTGATCTTTAGACTGAAGTTTCTGTCAATTTCTTTAGTTTCTCGCATAGAAGCAAGATGTCATGATGGCGAAACATCGATACAGCTAGATATCAACTCAGAACTATACCCTATGCAGCCAAGAGAGTTGTATAGGATGGTTATATCAAAGACGTTGAATATGGATGGGTCAGCTGTAACTAGCCATCCTCCTGAGGTATTTGTTCCTTTTACTTATTTGAATCTTCCTCTTTAATTGTCTTGGAAGATCCATTTGATGATTAACAGAAATATGGTAATCTTCTCTCCCTGATATGTCATATATAATCATTTATACGATTTTAGTAGGTTGCTTGGTAAGTCCATAAATCATGTTTGGGAAGGAAGTTGTGATTTTGATCTAGTAGTTGGATATTCAGAATGCCACATATCATTGTCTTTAAATTCTTGGGTAGGTTTGCCTTTTATTTTCCTTTTGTTTGATGATCTCCAAATCGAAGTAAAGATATTTATGGGGAAAAAAGCCAACCATTTGGTTTTATTTTCTTGAATCTAAATAAATTTCATTATTAACCAACTAAGAAATGTTGGAAGCCTCTTTTTATTAATTTGTTTTTGCTACTCCCAAGGCTTTTTGGCAACAGTAATGTGTAGGTTCAGAGGCGTGGCCACTACATTTAGATTGTTCTACACTGGCTAGTGGCTATGCGCTTTAACTTTCTGCAATTGCAGGGAGAGCAAAAATCTCTTGCTGACAAATTTGAATACATCGTGCATGGGCTAGTTTATAAGGTTTCAATGGACACATCAGGACCTGACAAAAAAGTGTATGTACTTGCTCATCCCATTTATTCCAATGTATTGGTTTAACTTCTAGATCTATCTATAAGCTAGGAGAAAAAAATTCAGTGCATGCAGCTTTGCAGCAGTCCACCAACTAATTCAGTGCATGCAGCTTTGCAGCAGTCACTATCTAAATTTCACTTTGGATTAATAGCACCCACTAATTCCACTATAGTAGTTATATACCCAACAGATCCAATCTCGTCAAATCCAATCTCGGTTGGTCAACATTGACAGATGTTTCACCATTTCATCATGCAGCGATGGTGTCAGATATGTTGTTTGGATAGGAAAAATGATTAGTTAAGAATGGAAAAAGGGGGATGTTCACAACAAGATATTTCTTCTCCAGTGCTGCAGACAACTCCAGGCCTCTGGGCCTGTGGACAATTAACACAACTGAAAGCTCTCTTCAGTACTGTTGTAGTTTGTAGAAATGATTTAAAACATCTCATGGCCTATCATAGGAATAAATTTGTGGCTGTGACGTTGTTTCTTAGATTTTCAAAAGTCAATAAGCCTAGAGATTCAAACTCTTAGACAGCCTATTGATTTGTTCATTCTCCTTTCCCCTCTTGTCAGAGTGGTTTATGTCTCCTTCGGAGGACTTCAGCTGATGTTGAAAAGTGATCCCCTCAAGGTGCAAAAGTTCAAGCTCGATGAGAAGCTCTATCTTCTTTTGAGGAAGATGACGAAGTGAACTCCATTTGTTGTTGCTCTTGAATCCTGGAATTCTGGGTTGCTGCATTTTCATGACATTTTCTTTTCGTTTCCTTTTCTTTTTTATGGAGAGATGGAGCAGAGACTTTGTTTGCAAGATATTTGCCTGTCAACGTGAAACCTCTGCTGTTGAACTGCAACGTTGTTGGCGAAATTATGTACAGTTCTGAACTTAATTAAGATGTATGACTTTTCTCTTGGCAAAATGTTTGTTCTTGGAAGTGTTTGCTAGAAAACAGGTCTCTGTGAACGCACTTATGTTATTCATTTTGGCTGTGTTGGAATGAACAAGTTGGTTGTACGATATGTTCAAATCTGCAAAAACATTAGGTGATTTCTTCTCAACTGTCAAAACCTTGGTGGACCGAGTTACCCAGTACCTGTGCTGGTGGAGGTAGCAGGTACCTCGTGGAATTAGTCGAGGTGTCCCCAAGCTGGCTTGGACATCATAATTTAAAAAGAGAAGTTGGTTGTACTATCAGTATGTATCACATGTGAGGATAACTGTTGGCTGTACTAGCATTTTGGAATTGTTTCGTTGAACTGTGCAAGTGTGCGTCAAGTTAGACACCTAGAACTGCAAATTGGTGAAATCTCTTTAGCTTTCCTTCTGGGAGGAAAATTTATCTTTACGTTCTATAGTGTGTCTTGAACTCTTGATGCTGAACTCTAGTGTTTTGTAATGAAAAAATGAATAAACATAGACATCATGCTGTAACCTGTAAACAAGTTCAGAACATTAAAGTCTGGATTTTCTGGAGATGCAATGAAAGAATAGTCTACCTATCTCTTTTGTTATTTGGAGTTGATGAAAATAATCAACATGCTTATACTCTTAATTTCCAAAGAGAATACAAATTTAATCTTTAATTATTCAGTAAGTCCTTATCACTCGGGCATAAAAATGTAAAGATGAAACCATGAACTTCTATCTTGGATAAAAAAGAAGATATCTTCTATCTTGGATGCACTTTTTTCTTCTTCACATGGCAATTTGTCTCGTGCAAGCTTGTCATGCAACCAAACTTCCTCTTCATTTCTTTCCACATGCTTGTTTTCTCCTTTTGAATCTTGTGTTGGTAGCTGCCTATCTGAATTGCCCTTCTCATCATATGACATTCTTTCTCCAGTTCCTGCACCTTGCTTCCCATCTTTTCCATCTCCGCTTTCACTTCCTCTTCACTGCTGCTTGTCCTCGTTGCATCTTCCTCGTCTTCTTCCAGCTTCAACAATAGGTTTCCAGAACCCCTCTGTATTCTCTTAGCCACAGTATCCTTCAACTTCAACTGCACAGAAAACAAAATCTGCACCATCACTCGTACTGGTAGCTTTTCGTTGTGTGCAGCATGCTCACAGGCTTCAGGAGAGAGGTTGTTGCAATCCAACATCCTGCAAACTTCTTCCCTTTCTCTATCCGTGAGATATCTGTGCTTGTCCAAGTATATATCAATTGCTTTATATATTCCATCAGAATTCCTATGAGTTCCTTCTGATGCTGCTAGTGATAAATCTGCTAGTGTTAAAAATGTCTTCAACTTCAAATCTCTGTCACTTGCAACCTCAGCCAAGAAGTCATCAATAAGTTGTGCCACGACGATCAGGCCAGATTTGTCTGTGTTTTCGTAATTGCTGTAGAAATACTTCATTATCCTTTTCACACATTCAGTGTCATACTGCTCTTCTTTTGCATATCCTTGTGCAGGTATTAAGAGGTCCTTCACAGTTGCCTGGTCCAGCTGCTTTCCTATTCTAGTTTCCAATCCGCTTTTACATTCAGTATTAGCATCCAACGTTATTGCAGATTGCAACATTTGAGAGAGCAAAGAACAAGGGATCAGCCCCCTCTCTTGTGGCAACAGTCTCTCCACTGCTTCAATGATCTCTCTCTGAGAATTCCTCTCATAAACTGATGTCTCATCTTCTCCTTTAGTGCCCGGAAAAACCCAGTTTATGAGATACTGAAACAGAGATGATGACACATATTCCAAAGGGACATTTTGATGAACCAATGCACGAATAATGGGCTCGTAGAGAGCAATGGAAAGTACAGTCAAGTCCTCAGATTTCCAGTCAAGAACAAAGAGCCTCCTCCTCACATTTGGCTTATAGGTACTTTCGTCGTTCTCACTGTCATCATCTGTTGTTGTTACGTTCCTAATCGGTTCCCCAAGAAGACTTGGATCATGCACTACTTTGGTGATGATCGATTCTGCACAGGCATCAACAAGGGCAAGATCTGCAGCTTGTTGAAGAATGGTTTCAGCAGATTTGAGGGCTTTAATACACTTGTTCCAGCTAGGAAGGACATTATTTTGAAAGTAGAAACAAGCCTTCTTTATGAGGTTGTTGGTGCTGTGATCTTCGGACATTCCAAGATAGTTAGCAAGGCAAAGGACTTTAATAACATTCTCAGGTGATAGGCTTATGTTAAAACCGTGGCAGAACCTTGCGACTAGCTCAAAAGTTTCGGAATCAGTGGGAATGTCTCCTAGCAAATGAGAAACATCATCTTCAGGATTCTCTTTCAGCACTGCAGCTAGCTTTGCAGATTTTGCAGTCAAAACTTCCTGTAAGTTGAACACAAACCAACAGCTTAGTAAAACTGAAATAATTCTGATGTGTGTGTGTTACATTTGACTTCTCATGATTTTTAACTTACCCTATTCAAGGAAAATGGTACTCCACATATGTGGAGCTGAACATCTGATGATGAAGCAGGCATTGATTTCCTGAAAGGAAAGGGTAAGAAGAAAAAAAAAACATTAAAAGGTTGAATAAGTGAAAATGAAAAAGTAAAAGAAAGCCAACTTTTACCTGGATGGAGATGCAATGTTTTTCCTTGTGGCCATTTTATCATAATTTTGCTCTTTCCAATCCATCAAAAGACATCACATCTTAGGGCCTTTCAAGCTAAGATGTTGGGATCAAGATCTCTCCAAATTAATCAACCTGCAAAATATATAGCAATAAGCCCTCCTTCATATGTGTAGGAGCCTTTATGTCTTTACAGTAATGTTAACGGTTCGTTTGGTTCGCAGTCTAGTTATGCAAATACTGTAATGCAGGATCACTATGCGGTGAATAATAATGCAGAGATTGTTATCTGTTGAGGACGATGTATATACTAATGCAGGGCTGTTACATAAAGAATGTTATGTAGAGATTAATTTAAAAATATTATAGTTGTTAGATATTCTACTCCAGGTATGCTATTTTAAGATAATACAAATGCTTTTTTGCAGCTAGAGCACATTGCCGGTCCCAAGCCCGGGTAGGCGAGCTTAACGTGAAACTAGCTAATTCATGACGATGAATTGTGTTGGCCTATTTAAATGGAGAAACATTAAGATTGAGGACTCATATATAGCCGACCCCAACTTGTTTAGGTCTAAAGCGTAGTTGTTGTAAAAATGCTTTTGTGCAGCGAGAGCACAGAGTAGTCATGCTTCTTCTGGTGCACCTAGCCATACGTGATTCATTAATGGAGTTCACTACTTTATCATAAGATAATATATATAAGGTTCATGTTCTCAGAGAAATTGCCTAATATCAGTTTTCATTCTAGTAAACGGCGAATAGTTTACTTTGGAGTAATTTTATTTTTCTTTAAACAATCTAGAGGAGATAAAGAGCAAAGCAAAGGAAGAGTAGAGAAATTTACCAGAAAATCTTGATCAATATTCTTCTTGTAAACTGTAAAGGAGAAATCAGAACTGTGCATGCTAGGAGCAGAGAGCCACTGTGACTTTTTTGTCATTGGAGTTACTAGTTAGTATTCAATATTCAAACGTTCAAACGTAATAGTTGGACATTCTGTTATAGAATTTAGAGTTTGATTAGGGATAAACTCTCCACAAAACCAACTAAAACCTCCCCTATTATAGGAACGGCTCTTAATTTATCTACAAAATTAAATATTACTTTACCTTTTTTTTTTTATAAACAATTTTTCTGAACGGTGATCCAACAGTACCGGGATTGTCGGGTCGGGTTTTTATAGGTGCATTAACTAGAAATTTAGTTGTAATTAGAAGTAACAGTAAGCGAGGGAGGAAAAGAAAAAGCAAAATCTTTTATGCATTTGTGCTCCACATTTATATATATATATATATTTGTATTTATATTTAACTAACATAGTAAAATAGAATGAAGTTACAATATAATATTGATATTTATTAGCTTGTTACGTGACTTAACCACAATGCCAATTATATGGTACTTTATTCCTTTAAAATATATATGTAGATATAGATTAGTAACCTAATTACAATTTATTAGGTCTAAAGTTTGGTCTACCGAGGGACTAATCAAACGACGCCACATTAATCCCGAAATATATTCCCCTATAGTGTGCAAGTTAGTTTTATGTCTTCTTTTAAACTTCTGAATAGTCATTGCTTTGAATTATTGAGTCCAAAGTTTAATAAGATATTCTCATACAGTTTTGCAATTTGAGACTGCAAGCCATTTTATGCTTTTTTTTTAATTTTTAATTTTATTTTTTATTTTGAGTAGTAGCTGCTTTAAAAATCCTTCAGCTAATTGGACAACTTTAACTTTTTCTTTAAATTTTCTGTATATTTGTTGTTCCGTATTTTCTATGTTTAATTAGTAACTAGTATTAGAACCCGCGTATTGCGCGGTCAATATTAGAAATATTAATTATTTTAATTATAATTTGCTTTTATAGTATATTATATCATGTTGCCTTAATAAAATTTCAATTGGCATCTTACTTCTCAATACAATATTTCATTAACTAAACTATATGAAACTAAAGAAAAATGAATTATATAGTCATCGTATAATATTTTTGTTTCTCATTTTTCTTTATTATAATTTTTATTATTTAATATAATTACATTATTAATATGACTATTTATTAGCGTGTCACTTGGTTTAATATCATTTTCAACATTACTTCTCAAATAATATTTTAAATTTTATTTTATTGTTCACAATTCTTCAATTTTTTAAATTTATCAATAATATGTGTATTATTTACTTAATTTATTTTATTTTTCTAAATTAATATAATGTCGAAATATTCTCATATTATCTCTATTTTGACCTTTGTACATTTTTCTACTATAATATTATAATTACTTTTTTTCATTTTAAATTTTACATATAATCAAAATACTATCATATATAAATAAAATTGTAATTTTGAATTTTTAAAAATATAAAAAGAAAAGTAATTATTACTATTTTATCATATATTTATTGATATTTTTAATAATTGCTATTTTGTATTATTTTCCATAGGCGTAATTGCTTCCTGGCCACTTAAATTTGTACCGGATTTTAAAGCCGATACACGAACTTATATTGTTCCCATTTGAACACTCAAACTCACATATTCGGTAACTAATAAACCTATTTGACCGTTGACCATGCATATGTGGCAGTAACAAAGATAATGTGGACAAGGTGTGTGCAAGTCACCAAAATTATGCGCGTGACTACAGTATTTTTGATTTAAAAAAATCTAAAACTAGAAAAAAAAATACAAATTAAAAATAAAGAAAATAAACCAGGCCATTTCCAGCATACCCCAGAAAAGAGCTGAACAACAATATGAGTACTTCACCTTTCAAAACTTAAAACAATTTTGGCGGACACCTAAGAATTTTGGCAACTCAAAGAAAGAAAACAAGTACCATCATCATCCCAGAAATAGTGCAAAATGCAGGGAGGGTTGATGTTGCGAAGCAGATGTTGAACCGCCACCAAGGATTGAATTTCGGGCGGTGTTGCCCGTGGTGATGGGATTTGGGGGCAGTGTCGACGAGGCGGAAAGAGGAGTCTTCGTCAGCGGCGAGGGTAGCGAATGAATCGTCGACGGAGAAGTCGAAGGCGGAACCAGTAGCGTTTTGCTTAGAGTTGGATCCGGGTCAGTTTGAAAGAGACCGAGTCCAGTCGGCAATACGACCAAGCTTGTCGGAGCGGGAGAAAGGAGCGAATGGGGCGTTAGAGATTTGGTTTGGTACGGAGATGGAGGAATCTGGTGGACCCCATCCGTCGGCATTGAATGGAACGGAGCCAAGTTCAAAACCTACCATTGTTGAATATGGATAAGAGCTTATCAACTTTCCGGCGGGTTTGTGAGGAGTATGAAGAATTGAAGCAGAGAGTAAAAGGATAAATACGATGATAAAACGATAGCAGAAATGAATGGAGGTGGGTGAAAGGAGAAGAAGGGAGATTAATTTTTAAAATTCCATTTAAAAATTTTAAATATTTTTTTTTTTAATAATATAAGACCCACAAATTCACATGTCATATAATAAAGACCAAATATGTGACATGATTTTCCTGTCAGAGCGATTGGCGAACACGTTCAACAGAAAGTGTTTATTAATATTCATTTCGTCAAGTTGAAGTGTTCAAATGGGACAATGTAAGTTCGTGTATCGGCTTTAAAATCCGGTACAAGTTTAAGTGGCCAGGAAGTCATTACGCCTTTTCCATAAGCAGATGAACTTTTGTTTATCTCAACTCAAATATTTCTATCTATAAATTCGAAATCAAATTATTTTCTTATCAAGAAAATATTTGAAAGTTTTTCATAGATATAAACTACCAAATTAGGAAGAAATTGCTTCTAAATTTGAATTAATAGTTTGTTTTATTTTCTTCTTTTCGTTTTTATTTTAAAATAATTTCAAAAACTCAAAATTTATAAACTCAAAGAAAGTAATTGTTAACAATACATAATGCATAATTTCAATTTTTAAAGATTTAAATTTAAAAAAAAAGTAATTATTACCTAACCTAACTAAGTTTGTCCTAAATTTCCATGTGGCCTATTGTGAAGCTGTTTACATATAATCAAGATACTATCATATATAAATAAAAGTATAATTTTGAATTTTTTAAAATATAAACAAGAAAGTAATTTTACTATTTTGTCATATATTTATTGATATTTTTAATAATTGCTATTTTGTATTATTTTCTATAAGTAAATGAACTTTTGTGTATCTCAACTCAGATATTTCTATCTATAAATTCAAAATCAAATTATTTTCTTTATCAAAAAAATATTTGGCAGCTTTTTATAGATATTATCTACCATATTAGGAAGCAACTGCTCCTAAATTTGAATTGATAGTTTCTTTTATTTTCTTTTTATTTTTATTTTTTATTTTAAAATAATTTCAAATATCTAAATTTTTAAAACTCAAAGAAAGTAACTAATTATTAACAATAAATAATGCATAATTTAAATTTTTAAAAATTTAAATTAAAAAAAATTAATTATTACCTAACCTAACTAACTTTGTCCTAAATTGCCATGTGACCTATTGTGAAGTTGTTTAGATAAATTCGAAATACTATCAAATTTAAATCAAATTGTAATTTTGATATTTTTCAAATATTAAAAAATAAATAATTTTACTATTTGGTCTTAAATTTACTGTTATTTTTAATACTTGCTATTTTTGTATTATTTTCCATCAGCAAATGAACTTTTCTTTTATCTCAACTCAAATACTTTTATCTATAAATTCGCAATCAAATGATTTTCTTTATTAAAAAAAATATTTGGCAGTTTTGTATAGACATAAACTACTATATTTATAGAAACAAAAAGCTACCATATCTTTAGATATAGATATAGATATAAATACATAGATTAGATTTATCTAAGGTCTATTTCATTCAACTATTTGCATTAATTATGTTTTCATTTGTAATTCAGATTTTTAATGTTGTCTTAAAATTGCCAAGTGGCTTCATTTTAGCTTGCCACTTGGCTTAACCACATGCTTCACTACTTTCCTTTTAATATAACTAGTAGTCGTACCCGCATGATGCGCGGTCAATATAAAAAAATATTAATTAAATTAAATTACGATCGGGCTTGTTTGATCCTATTAGACCGTATTCTTTAATAAATTTCAATTGTCATCTTATTTGTCAATACGATATACCCAATAATAAAATCTGTGTTAAATTAAAGGTAGTTATATAATCAGTGAATAACCTTTTTGTTGTATATTTTTCTTTATTATATTATCCATTATTTAGTATTATTACATTGTTAAGAAATTTTTTTATTAGTATATTGCTTTGTTTACTATTTTTGTCTGCTCGCTTTCTTTTTGTAATATAAGAGAAGATATATATTTTATTACTGTTGAAATATTTTTTTTATTTTGAATTTTATTTTATTGTTCTTAATAATATTATCTAAATTTTAATGAATAAACTCTCTATTAAACTAAAGGGGCTTATACAGGCAGCGAATAACTTTTTTGTTTTATATTTTTCTTTATTATATCATCCAATATTTAGTGTTATTACATTGTTAATATAAATTTTTATTAGCTATTACTTTATTTAATATTTTTCTCTGCTACTTTGTTTTTGTAATATAATAGAAGATATATATTTTATTACTCTTGAAATATTTTTTTGTTTTGAATTTTATCTTATTGTTCTCAATAATATTGTCTGAATTTTAATGAAAAAACTCTCGATTATAATAATGGGACTTATGTAGTCATCAAATAACTTTTTTTTATGTATTTATCTTTATTATATCACCCATGTTTGAGTAGTTAATTTTGTTGTGTCTTTTTGCTCATTTTTTTTGCAAATAATTTTTGAATCACCAAATCTGTTGAAGCTTTGTCCTAAAATTTGTCACTTTGTTAATTTTTTGATGTTACATTTGGAATTATCACAATGATTTGCTACTCCTATTCTATATAAATAGAATAGATATTGTTTGGATTTTAGTGAATAAAATATCTATTAAATTAAAGGGACTTATATAGTCATCAAATAACTTTTTTGTTATGTATTTCTGTTTATTATATTGTACACAATATTTTGTATAATTATATTGTTAATAGAAATTATTAGCACATTACTTGTTTAATATTTTTGTCTGCTAATTTTTTTTTGTAATATAATAGAAGATATATATTTTATTACTCTTGAAAATATTTTTTTATTTTAAATTTTATTATTTTTTTCTCAATAATATTGTTTGAATTTTGATGAATAAATACATTTTTTAATTCAAAATAAAGTAACCTATATATATATATATATATATATATATATATATATATATATATATTATAGATTTTAAATTAAGAAATAATAACTAATAATTAATTAGTAACAAATTATGCCATGTGGCTTTTTTAGGCTGATACTTGGCTTAAGGAGAGGGCTTTGTCATCTCCTTTTAATAATAATATATAGAATGTAGAATATTAGAAAGAAACTACTCACATTTGAATCAAAAGTTATTTTTATTGCTTTATTTTCTTTTTTTATTTTAAAATAATTTTAAAACTCCAACTTGAAACTACTCCCACCCAATTTGAATGGGTAGTTATTTTTTTATATATTTATATTTTCAGTTTTTATTATAAATAATTATAAGATATCTATATTTATTAATTCAAATAAAGTGTGTGTATATATGGTAGCTTTTTATTTTCATTTTTTATAGATATTTAAATTCAAAAATAATTATTAATAACTAATTAGTAACTAATTATGCTATGTGGCTTTTTTTTTAGGCTGCCACTTGGCTTAAAGAAAGGGCTTTGTCCTCTCCTTTTAATAATACTAGTATTTATGAACGTGCGTTGCACGTTAATAATGACACGTAATGGTTTAAACATTTAATTATATGAAGGAACAATAAAATTTAATTAATGAGAGAAATTTTATATATAATAATCATCTAAATACCTAAAAATATTATTATATTAGCATAATAGATGAATTTAAAATAAAAGGACAACATCACACAAATGATCAATTTTGTCATGTTAGTTAGATAATAATGTGTTAGTACTTCCTCCGGTCTACTTTAAGTGATTTTTTGGTTGCTTTCACACATATTAAGGAATTCACCTTTTATCATTAATTAACAATATAATTGACCATATTAACCTTAAAGTGGATCGGAGGAAGTATAATTTAAAAGTATTTAATGTGATGGTATCTTACCGAACACTTCTGTGTGGGCGAATTTTTGTGTGTGTATGTTTCCTCCTAATTGGTTACTCTACCTTAACCAGAACTCTTGTTGCCGATTTTGATATCCCTCTTGAAAGTGCAACATACAGTTGTTTGTGCAAGAAAATATATTGCGGTAAATATAATCTAATATTAGGATGTTTGTCCTAGTGATTTATTTATTATATTTGAAAAACGTAAACATACTAAAATTATTTTGACACAAATTTAAAAGAATATTCCTTAGTTTTGGAAGACCAAAGTTGAATTCAGGCATAAGAATATACTTAGAAGCACATTGACCAGTATCATAATTTTGCATGTATGACATTACTGTCACAACTTCTATATACCATCTGTGTGCTATTACATAAGTTATTCGGCGTATCTATGTTTTTCAGTAGCATGACGAGCATATATTTTTCAAAAACAACCTATATACAATGGAAGATCAATTATAACTTAGTCTATTATATATACGGTGACACTAACATGCGTAAGAAATATTAAACTTGACAACAAATGTGTATGGTAGAAGGCCATTTGATATTAAAGTATTTAAGTATTCTTCTTGGTAGTAATTATTGGTATCATTCTCTGCTGAGTCAAAAACTGAAAAATATTTTGTTTTTACTATAAAATTTTGCAATCAACCTTTTATTTAGTTGATCAACATATTTATTTCTGATAGCTAAGATAACTTTTTAATTCTATCATGCGATTTGCAAATTGCATTTTAATCTAATGATAGAAATATTTCTCTTACTAAATGCACTACTGTTAGCATTGGGGTTGATAACCAAGTATTCGAGAAGAACCAAATCATCTTTTATTGGATGCTCTTCTTCGTTTCCGACATGAAGCAAGAAGACACTAAATGCCGGATCTGTTCTTACTTTATATTTCTTGTCAGTTGAATCTTTTTTATTTGAGGCCAGAAGTATTACTTTGGCGAGCTAGCTTTTACAGTCTTTGTTTTTGTCGATTTTGGAACTACTGGTAGTACTTGATAGAAATCACCTCCCAAATCATTAATTTTTTCACCAAACGGTCCATTAACATCCAATATATCTCTAGAACTCTGGGCAGTTGTTTCGATCGTTTGACACTTAGTTATAAGTGCTTCATCCCATATTATCAATTTTGCTTTCTTTATAAATTTAGCATCATTGCTCTGCTTTGATATATATTTGTGATGGTTATTTGAGTAGGAAAACAATTCAAATATAATATAAAAATATATTATCGTGGGGATATTATTTTCCTCAATTTCAACTCTTTATGCAGCCCAATTAATATTACTTTTATTATTTTTTGGTATTGGACATTATGGAGTGGTAATGTATTGCCAATATGGAGGATTATTAAAAAAATTGATTTTATTAAACCTTCCTACATATTTTTAAATAAGAATTTAATAGATTTTGAATATTAAAAGTTAGCATAGAAGGTATTGTAGTCCAAGAATTAGGTTATTGCAGTTATGTCCTTTACCTATGAGTTCTTTCATTTAATATTTTAGGGCTATTTTGGTCTATTAATAATGTATTTGTGCCTTTATAATAATATAGGATTTCCTTTTTCTAAATCGATTTGGACAATATAACACATTTTCAAATTAGTCCAGAAAATAGGTTATTGCAGTTATGTTCTTTTCCTATGAGTTCTTCCATTTAATATTTTAAGGCTATTATGGTCTATTAATATTATATTTGTGCTTTTATCATAATTTATGCTCTCCTTTTTTCTAAATCGATTCGGACAATATAATACATTCTCAAATTAAATTAGTAATAGGACATCATAATACGTTTTTAAATTAAATTAGTAATAGAAATTTTTAAGAAGTATATCCTAAAAGTAATAGGATTATATGACTAAAAACACATCTCTACCCCGAAAGTAATTATATTAAAAGAAAACATAACGTGTTCCTAAAGATATTAGGTATACATGCTAACATGTAGTATTATATGTCTATGCCTGAAAGTAATTATGTTAATAGGATTCCTAAAGGTAATCAGGCATGATTCCTAACATATAGTATATGTCCTAAAACTAATATGATTATAAGGCTAATATCTAGAATTTCGATTATGTCCTTTTATTGTGAGTTATTATGCTTAATATTATAAGGTTATTTTTGTAAACTGACATTGTATACATGCTTTTATAATAATATAGATATAAATATATATAGATATAGATAGATATAGATATAGATATAGATAGATAGATTAATCTATGATATATGCATGTGCATACTTTTGGGGTGGCGAATGTAAGATATTTACACAAAATCTAGATATTACATGTATGTATAGCACAATTTCTAAAATAAATATGTGAATAGTGATCATATGCCAAGCAACGAAAAAGTCATTCTGGTTTTCATCATCTCTTTTGAAGTTTAAATTGTAGAATGCTTATGAACTTTTAATGGTAAGTATTACTTTTTCATGCTTTTCTAGGATTCATAATATGTAGTACTTATGTCCTAAAACTAATAGGATTATAAAGCTAATATCTAAAATTTCGGATATGTCCTTTTACTATAAGTTATTATGCTTAATATTATAAGGTTACTTTTGTAAACCGACATTGTATTCATGCTTTTATAATAATATAGAAGATATAGATATAGATATAGATATAGATATAGATGTACCAAAGAAATGATAAAGATATTTTAATTTTAAATTAAATCCTTGTTCACTATTTCGAGAGTTAAATTTAATAATTCTTGATAAACAATCTCTTTTAATTTCGAAAAGTTGTAATCATATCATAACACTTATATGCAGTGAGCCAGTGCTTATGTATTGGTAGGTCAGAATATTTTTTCAGAAAATACTTTTTAAAAAATAAATTGTTAAAACATATCTTTTAAGAAAATTATTTTTTGAAAAAAATGATTTCATTCACTTATGCGCGAAAATTATTCTCCTTTATAATCATTTCAATTCTTAAATTCATATTACCAAATTCAAAATTAACACTTGCACATTATTATAAATAATTAATATTAAAATATTTGCATCAAATTATTATTATAATAATTATTATTTTTAATAAATATTTTGTTAAATAATATAACATATCTAGGAAAAATAAATATTCTGGGTTGTACCAAACGTTCACGAAATAAGATGGAGAGAATTGGAGATTTCTTAAACTTAGGGGAAGTTTGGACATTTAGATCAAATGCGGGACGAAATATAGATATTCACAAAATTTATGTTTGCCAAACAGTAGTGACACTTCCTTTGCTACTTCAATGGCTACGACGAGAAATTGGTGGTAGGCCGTTTTCAAATGGAAAAAACAATCAATTGCCCCTAATTATGTACAGTAGTTTATAACTTTATATGAACATTGAGGGATGTTCGCAAAATGTTCGATAAAATTCCTCAACCAATTGTCTTCCAAGAATTTCAAGTACTTATTCCTTCTCTTTGTACTTTTCCGTTTTGGAATTTTGGATAATGCTTGACAATGTTTCATCAATAATACTTCCTTGGCTCCAATTTATATATGACTCTTCCTCAGTTCAGGAATGTTTTAAAGACTCTTTCATACCATTTTCACCATCTATTGTATTTGAATGCATTCAAAATTTAAACTTTGATGTGATGTTATCTCTATGAACTAACTAGTAATCACTATGTTAGTGTATTATAGACGTGTAATCTCGGTGGGTTGAGTTACTTGGTACTTGTGATCGGTGGAATAGTGGAGGTTCCCACAAGTACAATCATTATAAAGAAAAGAAAAAATTATAGACGTTCACTTAGCATATTAAACACCTTATCAAATCAAACACCTTCATATATTAAATGAAATGGAGGGACTATTATTTTCTGAAACTTAATGTTTGAATTCATTTAATTATTAAAATTTTAACTTTTTTTTTTGGAATCATTGCTATTAATTATAATTGAAAGTGAATTTAATGTCTTTGTGCCCAATATTCTGGTGTCAAATAAAATGGGAAGTTGGATCTTTTGAACACATATTTGTGTTAAGAGTTTATTTATATCTCTAAGATATTTTAAAATTCAAAGTTATTTCTTGTTTGGTAATGAAATGCTTGTGTTTCTTTAAGACTTTTGCTGAATTCAGGCAAGTAAATTCCTTATTGATATTTGTAAAAAAAAATAAACTAGTTGGAGCTGCTGCTAATTCTGCAAATAGTCAATAATGCTAGCTAAACTTATTCAAGTGTTTGTGATACAGAAAAATGGCAAAAGAGTTGATATGGGACAGTGCAGAGACTCAAGAAAGAAAACAGAGCGAGTTCTATCTCTGTATCAGCGAATATTGAGGAGCCAGAATTCCTCTACTGAACTTTGCAGCAAGGGTTCAAAAGAAGGGCTGAAATCTTTGCAGTATTTAATGCTGGCCTCTAGGAGTGATCTCTCCGTACAATTGACGGTCATATTGGCGCTGCTGAATGCTCTTCTCCGTTTTAAGAAAGGTTAGATTCCTATACAAACTTCAGGATAACTATTATTTGAGTCATTTATGATGATCATCTGACCATATTTCCTGTGAGTGCCAATGTTTCTAAATAGCTTTTTTGCATGTGATTATTTCCGATATGTATAAGTTATTTACTCTCATTTAGCTGAACTTGAACTGTACCTGATAAATCATAAGATAAATAAAGAGACATCATACTGATGACAGAAGCAAGATATCTAACTTGCAGAGAACAAAGGTAAGAACTTAAATGCTGGTCAAGAATCTTGAGATAAATGAAACAGACTGAAGATGTCCTGATTCTTAACCAAATAAATATGAATAATCCATGAGCTGGAGCTGCAATTAGGGAATGAGTAAACACGATTGAGTAAAGCGATTAATTAATTACAAAGTCATCTCTTTTCCAATAGAAACTCTGAATTCACCTATATTGCCGTAGAATCTTTATGCAATTTCAATTATCATCAGCTTAATTTTGTGTTATCTGTCTTCTTGATTTGGAGACAAACTTGTTTAAGCACTAAAGATTGCTTTTTATGGATGGATCTTCAAGATCTTTTTTAATTATTTTACTTTTATGTCGGATCCTCAAGATCATTATTTATTTCTCTATCATTATGTGTTTCTCTCTTACTTTTTATGCAAACAAATTGATGAAAAGATTAATTCCGTATGTTAAAACAAATAAAAGTAGTCCAGCTGCTAGCAAAGAACAGAAAGGGTGAAAAAGAGAGTTCAAAATCTGAGTCAATACACAAACAAGAGACAATTTTCAATTATGTAAAATTAAAGAAACCAAGGGAGAGAGAAAATTTAAGTTTTTCCTGGTTATGTCTAATTGAAATGAGCACTATTCTGGTAGTGCAATGTTAAAAAACATGTAATGTAAGGACAAGTTTATAATGTATCTTAACAACGATTTGCTTCGCACAGTACAAAACTAAATACATTTCTGTCACACATTTCCTTGATGATTTATAAGGAAAGTCAGAATTAGGTAAAGAAGTGTATTATAGATTCTATAGGTGAAGCAAGTGTTATATCATAAAAAAGGAGGGAGGTCAGCATCAGTGGCGGAGACAGGATCTCCACGAAGAGGGTTCAAAATCTTTTTTTTGTAGCTAGTGGGAATTGAACCTATGACCTTATGAAGGTTTTGAACCCCTTGACCACTAAACTACACTTTTGGGTTGTGTTAAGGAGGTTCAAAACTTAATATATAGAGGTAAAAAACAGATTTTTCCTTATATATACAGTGTAATTTTTCGGCAAAGGGGGTTCAAGTGAACCCCCTTCCGCCCCCCTAAATCCGCCCCTAGTCAGCATAGTTGTAAAAAAAAAAAAATGAGATAAAACTACAAATACCAGATTCTCAAAATCCTCCTCCAGGTTTCATTTAAGTTCTTCAGGTTCAGAACTCTTCCTAGAAATCATTCTGATCAGTCATCTCAGAGCCTACCTTTTGCTGACACATTTTTTCTAGCAGGTTTATTTCGGTTTCTCTCAAAGCCCTTCCTCCCCCGTGGAAGCTAGTAAGTTTTGAAGTGTCATTGATTAATTTGGCATTTTTCATTTTCTCGTTCGCTCATTTACATCATCTCTATTCAAGTTCCATGTGATTTTCCTCGGAACTTGTGAAGGAACTTTCTGATGTACACTTTGTATCCATCTAGCGGAGATCTCTAGATTGTAACATATTTTGACCTATAACAACATTAACTAGGTATATACTTTGGTATGGAAGGAGGATGAGTTTGCAATTTGCTTGTTCTCCTAAAACATAAAATGCTATGCTTGGGATAGACTTAGCTTTCTTGGGTCGTATCTTAATGTATTAGGAAGCCTTGATTGAATGCTGGATGTCCATAGAGTGAATGTTAAGTCTTAATACATTAATAATACCAAAAAAGTATTATCGGAATCACATTCTTCTCAAGTTGCGCTGTGTTTAGGGATAAGTTGCTAGAAAAATTTCTTTTACAAGAATATTGATATATTGGACTGGTATAACTGAATAAACAAGTTTTCAAGTTGTAGTATTTGAAATTTGAAAGTTCTTTAGCGCAGCAGGTTAACAACAAAATGACTTTGTTAATGGAAAATCACTAAGAGCATACTGACTTCTCACTGTTTCTTAGTTAGTCTGGTTAAACAAGAAAATGAATTTGTTTCGAGTCATATTGCTGGTCTGTACTGGTATGTATTAAAGTTAATTGCTTTGGATGAAGTAACATAAATCAGTCTTGAAATTAGTTTTGAACACGTAGAATTTATGTTAACGTATCGATAACTTTGGAGAAGTGGTGGTGGTGGAAACTTGATGTAGTTGGAAAAAAGTTAAAACTGAAGGGCTTTCTGCGCTTTAGTTCTTGTTCTTCTGTGTCTATCTAAGTCTGTCGTAATTATATGGATGTTAATTATCGAGGATGGGGTTAGTTGAATATGGACTTTAAAGTTTGCAACAGAGATCAGTCGTTTTCTTCCACGAGCACTAATTTTATCCTGAAATAGATATAAATTTTCTAGTTTTCTCTGAGTTCGAGAACCTCTAGAGTTAGAAAACCAAATTATTGGGTATTGAAATGAAGCAGCTCCAAATAGATTCATATACCCGACCCAACTAGTCTGGGATTGTGGCATAGTTCTTGTTATTCTCTCTGGTGGGGATGATATTGGGTCATGATTTTATCATTGTTCTATTTGTGCTGGATCCTCGACTTTAGTTTCTTTTGCTTTGAAATTTTGGGTTGTTTGAGTTTCTTCCCTTTTCCTTTTTCTTTTATGGTTCTTTTTCCATTCTCAATAAGATATTGCCTGTCGAATGAACCAGAAAAGTTTGTCAATATAGGTTGGAGTTTGCGTTTAGTTTCTATGTAGTTTGGATCTTATCTGTCTGAAGATTGTAAAGCTTCCACCTCATGATCCATTCTTTGCAAAGATTCCCCGAGTTGTGCATATTTTCTTGTTCTTTAGATTTCCCACTATATTTACTCTTTTAGGTACTCTTGGTCAGTTATTCAATAAACTTTTAGGTGTTTGCCTTCAGAAAGATATCCTGATTTCTGAGTTTAGTTGTAGGACATTTTTGACTTGTTGACCGTTTTTCCTCCCACCTTTTTCAGACCTCACTTGTAGGGTCACACTGGGTAAGTTGTTGTTGACCTTTTTTCTCTTTCCTTTTTTTTGGATTGAATGTTTGAAACGACTTCAAAAAACCAATTTATGCTCCCCTCCCCCAACTCCAAAGAAAAAAAAGCGAAAGAAAAGAATAAAAGATAATGAGTGTGTTTGGTATGAAGGAAAATGTTTCCATGGAAAATGTTTTCATGAAAAATGAGTGGTTTTATCATTTATTTTCCCTTGTTTTGGTTGGTGAGCAAAAAACTTTTTCCAGGAAATATTTTCTAATGTTTGGTTAGAGAGTAGAAATTTTTTTATGCTACTCTCCTCACCCCCATTCCCCCAAA